TGGGGTTAATATATATACACATACATATATATATAAATGCTATAGATCTTTTTTTAAGTTTTGGGCTCCCCTCTAGTGCAAGGATGGTAAAAGGTAGATTTTGTGCAACACCCACAATGCCCATACATACAGAGTTGTATATGTGAGCAATGATTTCATATTTGAATGTAAGCATGTTTTGTATGGAGCTACGGCCTTGCTGCAGGGATGCGAGTAGCAGCAATTGCCCCTGCCCCATATTGATCAATCCCTCCCATTGTGGGGCGTCCTCCACTAACAAAACTTTGCAACGTAGGCTCCTGCCATAGACTAGGAAGGGGTGCTTTGCCAAGGTTAGTTTGCAGCAGTCTGAAGGGAGTGCAGGTGGTGAGGGAGCTCTTTACTTACTGTGCTCTGTCTGCACAGCTCTTTAATGTGCCCTGCAGTAATAGCGACATCATGCAGACAGAGCGCATGTGAGATCTGTGCAGGAAGAGCACCATGATCACACCAGCCCCACTGGCCACCAGGAAGAGGATCCACTACAGCACTTTCAGTGCAAGATATCGAGGCTGAGTGGAGCTCTTAAATAATAATAATATAAAAACGTGTGTGTATAATTGTGATTCTGTCTGTATCTAGTTATATGTGTGTTTGTCTGTAATTATGTGTTTATGTGTAGGTCTATGATCATATGTGTGTAGGTCTGTGATTGCATGTGTGTGTATGTCTGTGATTGTGTGTGTCTTTGATAATGTGTGTGGTTCTGTTTGTCTGTTTGTATCTTGTGATTATGTGTGTTATGTGGTGAGTAAGTGTATATCTGTTACGTGTTTATATGATTGTGTGTGTGTGCATGAAAATGTTTATGTGTTTAGTAGATAGCTCCCAAATTTGGTATCCCTAGATATGACAACCCACTTAAGGGTAACAAATAAGGGAGCTTTCTTCTAAACAACTCAACGAACAACATTAAAAAAGGGGCTTTTCTTAATTTTTATCATTCGGCTGTAGATAACTCCCTACTGTTGCTGCTTTATGTGGTATTTTTCAGTATTTAAGGATACCAAATTAGGGTGCTGTTTAGCAGAAACCTCCTTTATTTGGTGTCCTTAAATATGGCAATTACACGTGAAGTTAGCAAATAGGGGAGTTATCTGCAACAAAGTTGAAAGATCAAAATTAAGAGGTGTCATTAACCAGCCCAGAACAAGAATTCTGGGTGGCTAATGTGAATTCTGTGCAAATTAGTTGTCTGAAACCAGTATGCACAGCATGCTGTGCCAGACAGTCAATGGTGGCATGTTACCTTACCTCCCCAGTGGAGATTATTAGTGCCCCCCCAATATTGTCTGTGGTATCTTATGTGCTCCTTCTACATATTGTTCCTAGATTCGCCACTGGTATGGAATATGTATGTGTGAATATAGAAGTGCATTTGTATGTATTGTTGCCATTTGAAAGCAGTGATGTTTATTTTTTGTGTTTGAATGCAGGGTTATATTTGTTGGCATATGAGTGATAGGATGTATGGACATATACACATACACTGCAGCACACACATACTGACATAGATACACTGTCACATACATAAACATTGGCACACACACTGCCAAACACACACAAATACACATACATTCTGACACAGATACACATACACAATGACCCCCCCCACACACACACACAATGATACAGATACAGATACAGATACACATACACATACACACTGCTACACATTTTGACACAGATATATATACACACTTACACACACATTCTGATACAGACACACATACACAGTGACACACACAGACAGATACACACATTCTGAAACAGATACACAAATACACTGACACACAGATATGTACACATTCTGACACAGATACACATACACACTGCCACACAGATACATACACTGTCAAAACACACAAAACACACATAATTTAAATATTTTAGCACAAACTCTCACCTGCGTTGATACCTTTTTGGTTCAGTAGTTTGCCTTCTCTGGGGCCCAAATTTGGCTGCTGGCTCAGACTGATAGGAATCTGGTCCAGGCTCTGTTCCCTCTCCTATCTCCACTTCATACTCTGTCTCCCTTTGTGAAGCTCTGCTAACTGGAAAGAAGTGACCAGAACTAACTTCCTTTCAGCACTGCCAGTCTAATTGGTGAGAACATCCAATTTTGGGCTAACCCAAGGCCGTGTGGGGAAGTCTTCTGCAGTTCAAATATTAAAGAATTTTAAGAATTTCTTCTGAAATATAGTAACAAAAACTGCTAACTACTGACTCTATCAATACCTGGACTTGACTTAATATTTTTCTGAATATACACTGCTTAATAAAGGGCATCATGGGTTTGAAGATGATGAATTTGACAAGCCTGCACGCCAGAAGCCCCACCAACATTTCAGCACTACCACTTTTCTCAGGGGAGGTCCACATTTGTTTATATGTAAGAATTATAGGGCACAAAGACCCCTTTTCGTGTAGTTTTTTCTTTTATTGATTTTCTGTATTTAAAACAACTGTGCCAACTATATATCGCTTTTTGGATGTAGGATCCCTAAACAAAGATTTTGAGAAAAACAGCATCTTTAATTAATTCATAGAGCTTAACTTTAATTGTGTATTTGCATATTCTACCTACTATGTACATTCATATATGAAGCTAAATCCTCTCTTTTCATTGTAGATAATCGGGAGTGATAATCAGGTTATCCAGCACATCAAGATAATTAAGTGTTCTTACATAGCAAGACCACTTAATGTTATCTCACATATATTATTATTATTATTATTAAGTGTTCTTGCATAGCAAGACCACTTAATGTTATCTCCCATATATTTTATTATTATTATTATTATAGCCAAATTTACCACCCTAACTTCTCCCACAGTTTTTACTCTACATAGACTGTAATACACCGAAACGTGCGGTTGTTCCCGATCGGATTGCTATTACTTTGTGGAACGTTTCGCCGAATGGTTCACGGAATATCGTCGTTCTTGTGGCAAAATTGGTCCCTTAGAAATGAATGGCAAAATGTTCAAAACTAGAGTGGAAACTGGCAAAAGCTGAAAAATCAGGACATGATTTCTAAACTGCCACCACTCCCTCATTTTCAAGCCCACCTACACAAATCTTATATCAAAATGTTCGGCTATCCCTGCTGCAACTAAAAATGTACACGGCTAAGCCATAGTCATGATAGTTTTCACAATATGACCATTTGTTTGCAACTCATGCCGTCCATTGACATTCATTGAAACTACACTCTAGCCAGCTCAAATTTGAAGGGCAATTTCTAAACTGCGACTGTGCCTTCATTTTTAATATTTCAGAGAGATACTATACATCAAAATGTAGGTCTGGGTCTTGTGATTATCACAATATAAAGCTCTTCACTGTAGGATTTATAGTTTTTAAAATACTCTGACCTGTGCCAGGCTGAAGCAGCAAATTATGTCATAGGGCCTTTTGTACACCTGCTAATGTTTTTATAAATGTATGTTTTAATGTAACTGTGAATCACTTTGGGCAACAACGTTGCAATTATATGTGCTATATAAATAAATAACAGTTACTCCGCCCACTCCAGTTGTAGACTACTGGTGGAGGAAAGAACACTTCACACAATTTCCCCAGAAATTGTAGCTTTTCTAGTTTACAGAAGTTCTGACACTGTGAGGCTGGAAATGACAAAATAGTTTGTTTTGACTAGTCAAGTGAGCCGGCTTGACCTGGAAGTTACTGAAGAAGCAAGCCATATGTGTATATAGTTTTTGCATATATAGTGCAAAGTAACAGCTGCTGTTGGACACGTTTTCTTAGACTTTAAAACTACAGATAATTGTGACAAACGACAGTTAAGTGTAGCAAGTGTTTTTAGAGAAGTGGAACAATAAATTGTCTCTTCTACTCATGAGTGATCATTCCAAAATGAGATCCCCCTAAAATAACTTAAATTAATAACTTTTTTTGCATTGATTAAGTGTACCCTCCTTTGATAGTATTCACAGAATATGGAATTGTAATGTCTTTTGCATGTATTGCTCATTATTAAGAAAATTAGATTTAACGTTTTTAAATAGGTTTCCTGATCTTAGCAGAGTTTCCATTCTTTTTCCCCAAGAGACATTGTAAGAGGATACTCTAAATACCATAGTTATGAGACTATAAGATCTGTCAAACTGCTGTGGAACCGTTTGACAAACACTTGAGTTCTCCTTGACACACCCATAGCCCACCCCCTCTGTAGCCACACTGATAAAAAAGCATTAGTCTTCCACATTATCAAGTGCAAATCCATCCAACCGTGGGCAACAATGATAGGCCAAATGTACTAAACTAATCTACTCCCTGAAGTGTCAAACAACAAATTACCCTGAGTTACATCTGCAAATATCTTCCTGGTCCTTTGCCTTTCTGGTTTCCATAGTGTCATGTTTTTGCTGGCTTCAACCCTAAACGCGCAGTCTACCTGCAATACCAGCTTTGGCCTTGGATGAATTAGCATCATAGTGCTCAGACAAGATTTGTGCTAGATATAGACATCTTCTTATATTTCCTACGTCCCTGCTCTCTATAAACCTGTTGTCTGCCTGTCCATGTTTAGACAATACTGCTACTTGTAACCAGGTATCAGTTACCGACTTCCAGGAGGTATCTGTGTTTTGTCATTAGGTCTCCAGCTTTGAAGTAGAAATCCTGCTTTGAGAATATGCTATAAGCACTTGGTATGATCCATGTCTCCATGTTTATAAAGCAGTTACAGTGTAACTCCCTGTATTTCATTAGTGGCCTTTTTAGCAGTGGTGCATGTGACTTGCGACCAAGGAGCAAAGAGTTAAAAAGGTCTGGTGGATACTTCTTTTTCTCTTCCCTTCTCTTTTGTGTAGTTCTTTTTCATTTTCCTTACTTTTAATTTTTTTTTTTTGCATTTGAATTTTAATAGTTATTTAAAAGAACACTATAGTCACCTAAATTACTTTAACTAAATAAAGCAGTTTTAGTGTATAGATCATTCCCCTGCAATGTCACTGCTCAATTCACTGTCATTTAGGCGTTAAATCACTTTGTTTCTGTTTATGCAGCCCTAGCCACACCTCCCCTGGCTATGATTGACAGAGCCTGCATGAAAAAAAAAAAACTGGTTTCACTTTCCAACAGATGTAATTTACCTTAAATAATTGTATCTCAATCTCTAAATTGAACTTTAATCACATACAGGAGGCTCTTGCAGGGTCTAGCAAGCTATTAACATAGCACGGGATAAGAAAATCTTAATTAAACAGAACTTGCAATAAAGTGTTTATGGAAGGCCGTGCAAGTCACATGCAGGGAGGTGTGACTAGGGTTCATAAACAAAGTGATTTAACTCCTAAATGGCAGAGGATTGAGCAGTGAGGCTGCAGAGGCATGTTCTATACACCAAAACTGCTTCATTAAGCTAAAGTTGTTCAGCTGACTATAGTGTCTCTTTAAGCAGACTCACAAACCATATCTAACATGGTCACTCTTGGCACTTGGCAGACCATTAATACGGTCATTAATAATCTGTTTCAAACTAGCAAATTATAGCTGACACTCAATTTCTGGACCATATTTCCATGTTTATTATTTCAGAACAGTGTGTATACAACTAGCTCTTGATGCAGAAATGGTATTTAATACATTGCACTAGGAATCCCTTTCAGCAGTCTTAAGCAAATATAATTCTCTTTTTTATCTTCTGAATTTCATAATGTAATATTATTAATGGATCTAGACAGGATTGCCCTCTCTATCCACTCTTGTGTATTGACATTAGAGCTTTTATTTTCACTTCAATGGTGACATCAAAGAATATCTATATACTGAAGAGGTTGAGTGCAAGCCATACTACCATGACAACTTTTTATCTCTAACAAACCAACTGTTTTGAATTTTGTCAAACTCTAGAGAATTGGAGAAAAAACATTTTGCCATATAGTACATTCTGAAGAAACCACCATTCTTTGAGCAATCAATAACAGCTTGTAATAACTCAGCTTTGCAGAACCTTGTGGATATTAGCGCCACTACATGAATAGTAAGCATACCTTCCTCAAGCTTCCATGAGAGTCGCCTCAATACATTATTGCCATACTATGCAAAACTATTTTCTATCCAAGACCAAGTTCTCCCTATCAACAAATTAGAAATCATACACCTAAATGTAACTCTGTAAGTTATTTTAGCACTATTAAACTTAATAGAGAATGAAAATCTGAATTATTACCTTATTATTAATATACAATTAACCACAAGCCTTGGAGTCTGCCAGTTTACACAAATGAAATAATCTGCCTCAATGAGGTTCACATATTTTACTTGGCCTTGTCCTGTGAGCCATGAACATTGGTGCCACATTGTCAGGGTTTAATGTATTATATTGAAAGTAATGTTGGATGTTGATTGGTCAGGGTATACATGTAAAGAAAAAGAAAAAATATTCAATCAAGTTAGGCATTTACCTATGCAATGCTTAGATCAGGGGTACACAACCTTTAACACTCTATATCTACATCTTCCATAATGCTTTTACAGCGATAATGCTGGCAAAATATTAAGGGAAATGTAGTCCACAACATCTGGAGTGCACCAGGTTGTCTACCTCTGGCATAGATGATTTTTAAAAAGGGTACAAAATAATGTTCAAATATGTGACTATTGCATGTATACAGTTTTATCAACCAAGGAGAGAATGCTGCATCAAATAAAGAATCACCCATTGTTTAAATTCAGAACTCAGAATACCATGGAGGAGACTACAGGGAGTGCAGAATTATTAGGCAAGTTGTATTTCTGAGGATTAATTTTATTATTGAACAACAACCATGTTCTCAATGAACCCAAAAAACTCATTAATATCAAAGCTGAATATTTTTGGAAGTAGTTTTTAGTTTGTTTTTAGTTATAGCTATGTTAGGGGGATATCTGTGTGTGCAGGTGACTATTACTGTGCATAATTATTAGGCAACTTAACAAAAAACAAATATATACCCATTTCAATTATTTATTATTACCAGTGAAACCAATATAACATCTCAACATTCACAAATATACATTTCTGACATTCAAAAACAAAACAAAAACAAATCAGTGACCAATATAGCCACCTTTCTTTGCAAGGACACTCAAAAGCCTGCCATCCATGGATTCTGTCAGTGTTTTGATCTGTTCACCATCAACATTGCGTGCAGCAGCAACCACAGCCTCCCAGACACTGTTCAGAGAGGTGTACTGTTTTCCCTCCTTGTAAATCTCACATTTGATGATGGACCACAGGTTCTCAATGGGGTTCAGATCAGGTGAACAAGGAGGCCATGTCATTAGATTTTCTTCTTTTATACCCTTTCTTGCCAGCCACGCTGTGGAGTACTTGGACGCGTGTGATGGAGCATTGTCCTGCATGAAAATCATGTTTTTCTTGAAGGATGCAGACTTCTTCCTGTACCACTGCTTGAAGAAGGTGTCTTCCAGGAACTGGCAGTAGGACTGGGAGTTGAGCTTGACTCCATCCTCAACCCGAAAAGGCCCCACAAGCTCATCTTTGATGATACCAGCCCAAACCAGTACTCCACCTCCACCTTGCTGGCGTCTGAGTCGGACTGGAGCTCTCTGCCCTTTACCAATCCAGCCACGGGCCCATCCATCTGGCCCATCAAGACTCACTCTCATTTCATCAGTCCATAAAACCTTAGAAAAATCAGTCTTGAGATATTTCTTGGCCCAGTCTTGACGTTTCAGCTTGTGTGTCTTGTTCAGTGGTGGTCGTCTTTCAGCCTTTCTTACCTTGGCCATGTCTCTGAGTATTGCACACCTTGTGCTTTTGGGCACTCCAGTGATGTTGCAGCTCTGAAATATGGCCAAACTGGTGGCAAGTGGCATCGTGGCAGCTGCACGCTTGACTTTTCTCAGTTCATGGGCAGTTATTTTGCGCCTTGGTTTTTCCACACGCTTCTTGCGACCCTGTTGACTATTTTGAATGAAACGCTTGATTGTTCGATGATCACGCTTCAGAAGCTTTGCAATTTTAAGAGTGCTGCATCCCTCTGCAAGATATCTCACTATTTTTTACTTTTCTGAGCCTGTCAAGTCCTTCTTTTGACCCATTTTGCCAAAGGAAAGGAAGTTGCCTAATAATTATGCACACCTGATATAGGGTGTTGATGTCATTAGACCACACCCCTTCTCATTACAGAGATGCACATCACCTAATATGCTTAATTGGTAGTAGGCTTTCGAGCCTATACAGCTTGGAGTAAGACAACATGTATAAAGAGGATGATGTGGTCAAAATACTAATTTGCCTAATAATTCTGCACTCCCTGTATAGAGTCATCAAACATTTTAAAGGTTATAGTATTCAAATACTGAAAGTTGAGAAATATGGCACCAGTCAGCTATAGAAAGGGCTATACATAACAATGACTTGCATAGGTACACAAAATAAGCTGTTACTCAACCTAACCGCTGACCCTGAACCCAACCATCCCCTTGCCCCAAAATAATTCAAAGAGACATTATTGTGGGGATAAGAGCAATGACCACAGCAATCTTAAACTTACAAACAGCCAGCACTAACACTCTTAACAACCTGCCAGTCATTGGGGGGTTTACCCAATGGGTAGTTCCCCTTCACTTAACTTCTTCCTTGCTTGACTGGTAAGTCTTCACCCCACTACCGCTGATATAAAGCTTATTGTAACTCCTACATCCAACCTCCATTAGCCCATGGGCATTAGTCATGATAGCCTTTCCCCAGATTTCCAGGGAATTCCTTTTGTAAGCCGATCCTAGTTTGACAGAATGCATGAAAACGCGTCACATGCAATGGGCGATAATACTGTAATCATTTACCACTGTGTGTAACCCCTTAAGGACACATGACGGAAATATTCCATTATGATTCCATGTTATTCCCGAAGTTGTGTCCTTAAGGGGTTCAAATTAAATCTTCTGTATGATGCTTGCTTACAGGGATTGCGCCCAAATATGCTAAGTTACACAAACATTTCACATAAATCGGATAATTTGCTGCAAAAGTGTGAGTTTCATGGTTTCATTATAAACTTTTAACAAACTTCAAAACAATTTGACGTATTTTAAATGGCAATATTCTGTCATGCATTTTTATATATGGAGAAGTGTATTCTGTGTATTAACAAAATAACAGAACAGTGTAAAAAGACAAACTGCTACTTTTGGCCGATCCTCTTACAGAGTGTAATTGCTGTTTCTAGCAGGCTCTTAATCTTAATCAGCGAAGAAAAGACAAACTGCAAGGGGACAGAAACCTAACCTGACTCCTGTGCTGAGAGGATCCCTGCAGTGTTGTACGGTTAAACCGTGAAGGGGTTAAACCTTTTAGTAACAAATAAGATACCTGTGGGTATTTCGAACCTCAGGCTTTTGTCGGGATTAACATTTTGATCATGTTTAAGTAAGTGTTGGCCAAAACACTTATCTTACAAAAATTACAAGCTGCGCATGGTGGGCGGCGAGAGACATACCATATGCCAAGTGAGACTGAACGCGTTTCGTGTCTGCAGAAGACGCTTAGTCAACAGTTACTATGCATATGCATGTTTCATGTTATAAATGAATGCATGCTCACTGATATTTCTCTTAAATAGCATGAGTCCAGGATTTTATTGAGAGATTTTAACAACTTATTGTAAAGCGCTGCGGAATTAGATTGCGCTATATAAATACCAATAATAATAACTTATTGGTTTCTCTGATATGTCAAGAGGTGACTTAGATCACTGATGAAACAGGCAAATATCCACTGCAAGTGGACCACAAGTAGGAATGAAATCTACAGTAGAAGAGGACTTCCTCAGGGATGTGTCTTGTGACAGCTCACTTCCAGGCTTAGCATAGACTGAGAGCTTCTGGCTCTCTGTCATATGTAGTGTACGCAGAGAGTGTTACCTGGAGGACCTCAGGTAAGAAGTCAAACCATTTCAAAATGGGTTAACTACTTATATTGGGGAAGTAAGAGTACTTCTGGCACCATAACCACTGCAGTGCACTGGAGTGTTTCTTTAAAGGGACCTTATAGTGGTCACCAGAACAGAACCAGTAATTTCACGCATGGATTATTGTAACCCTCTCCTTATTGGTCTTTCCAAAAGCTGTATTGCCCCACTACAGTTTGTAATGAATGCTGTCGCCAGACTGATTTTCCTCTCTAGTCGGTCCTCTCACACCTCACCCCTCTGTCAGTCCTTAA